AGCGAATGATTTGTTCCACAATCTGGTGGCTTGGCCTGCAGCTCCCTGTTTTAGAAACTTCTGTTGTAAAGAAAAGATATTCAGTGTCTAAAATGGTATTCTTTCCTCAGATCAAAGGTGGGAGAGGGCAGGGTGACTTCCCCAATGCCTCTGGATGGATGCAGTTCTATCTGAATCATTTCTGCCTCTTAGGGAAGCTGGCAGCTACCTTAGTGATATGTCTTAGGGGTTGCCCCCTGGGTCACCAGTCTTGTGAGAACCTCCTGGGGAAACTGGGGCCAAATAATTTTAGCACTTAGCATCTTTCCCTTTGAAGAGTCTACACACCTTAGTATGATGAAGCCCTTGCAAAAGTACCTAATTTGAATTTGGCTCATGAAATCGATTGCTTAGGTAGCAGCTCTGAGACCCTGAAAATGAGGTTCTGTGGAAAACATTTAAGAAGCATCATCCCAGCATGTTTTCCTTCACATTTCCTAATTCAGAAAGCAAAGACTTCTAGAAAGAATAGGTTAGAGAATGCTACAATTAACTAATTATCATGAAGCACTCACTTATCTAAACATTTGGTTCTGTTTTCCTGCCTTATCCACTGCATTTTCTCATCACAGACTATCTGTGTGGGTAAATACTATTATCATTCCCTGTGTTAGTCAGTTTTCTGTCACTATGACAAAAAACCTGAGTAAAACAACTTAAAGGAGAAAAGGGCTATTTTGTCTGACATTTTTCAAAGGTCTCAGTGATGACCCCATCACTATGGGCCTGTAGTGAGGCAGAACATCATGACAAGGAGCATGTGCCAGAGCAGAGCAGCTCACCTCATGGCGTCTGGAAGCAAAAATGGAGAGAGATTGCAAGGGACTGGGGACAAGGTATAACTTTCAAGGACATTCCCCCAGTGACCTCCTTCCTCCAACGAGGCCCCACCTTCTAAAATTTCCACCACTTCTCATTAGTACCACCAGTTGGGGAACCAAGTCTTCAACACATAATTCTTCGAGGCACCTTCCAGATCTAAACATAACACCCCCACCATTTGACAGAGGAGGAAACCGAGGTTCCAAGAGGGTCCTCTAAATGTTAGCACAGCACTGAGTCATCCCAGCTCCATCCATCTGCCAGCTATCTATATACTTTCCCTGGGGAGATGCAACCAGTTTCAGAACTTAAAATTCCATCCTTGGGTTAATAATCAAAATCTACATCTCCAGCACTGACCTCTTCATCTACCATCTCCCGTTTAATCTAAGGCCCTGGCCTTCACATTATTTTTCATCTGTCTCTTCTCTTATTGCCACACTCAAACCCCTAGGCCACTTGAACCACAAAACACATTGTCTCTACCACTGTCATAACAAACTCAGAAAAGTGAGATAGTCTCAGATTTCCTGCATAAAATTCCTTTTGTCACACACCCCGTGAACCCCATTTTTAAAAAATATTTTTTCTAGCTAACAGTTTGCGTGCTATCTTAGTCTGTTCAAGCTGATATAACAAAATACCATAAACAGTAATCATCCACAGCAGTTCCTCTCTTATAATCCCATCTGTGAGGACAGGTCCTAGTATCTACCAAAGGCCCACCTCCTAATCCCATCACACTGGAGATGAGGTTTGGATGGACCATAGCACATGTAGGGTTAGGGTTCAGATGGGAGGTGTCCTCCAAAAGCTCATGTGTGAAATGCAAGGATGTTTAGAGGTGAACTGGTTGGGTTATTGGAGCCCTAACTTAACCAGTGAATTAATTCCCTGGTGGAGATTAGCTGAGTTACAACTGAAAGCAAGTAGCTTATGACTAGAGGAGATGGGTCCTTGGGAACATGCCTTTGGGTTTTATATTTTGTCATGGTGAGGATAGCTCGCTCGCTCTCCTTCCTGGTGCCATGTCCCCAAGCTGCTCCCCTCTGCCAGACTCTTCCGCCATGATGTCCTGATTCACCTCAAGCCCAAGTAATGGAGCCAACCTTCTATGGACTGAGTCCTCTAAAACTGTGAGCCTCCAAATAAACATTCCTCCTCTAATGGCTCTTCTCAGATCTTTTGGTCACACCAGCAGAAAAAAAAAAAAAAGACTGAAATAAGTAATAAACCTGAAATTGTTAACTTCTTCTTTGTAGGTTATCTAAGTTATATGATGGCTATCTGTTGTTCAAAATGTATTCTCCATATGAGACAAATACAGGGGCCTTTAATCATCGCCAAGCAAAAGCAGGGCAAGTTGATGCTCAGGTGTATCTTGCAACTGATCTCATTAGGTTTTGCAGAATTCTAAAAAAATACCTCCTGATCCCTGGGCTTGGAACTTCCACACTAACGGATTTTTTTCTTCTGGCAATTTTGTTTTGCTAAGGGTATGATAGAATCTCTGTTAGGGGACCTTCAAGATAAGAAGTTATTGTGACAGATTTTTATGTAGGTTTCCACCAGATTGTAGGTTAAGTGTTGTTTCCAAAATAATTAGAAGTCAGTGATTTCTTCGATTTGGATCCTAGAGCCAGCGAGCTCTGCAGCGAGGTGATCCTCAAAATCCAAAGCCAACATAAATAATGGAAAGCTACTGGGCTACATTCACCAACATGTTCTTTTATAATTAGCACGCTCCAAAACAAACAACAAAAATGAAGAAGGTTTTTCTGTTACGATGAAATATTTCCTCAGAACACTAATGTCCTTCCAGATCATTCCATGTTCCTTTGATTTCACTTTAACCCACGCAGCCAGATTCTTCCAGAAGAGCAAATTAAGAGGGTCTGTTAACTACTTAAGTGCCTGGCTTCATGAAGTCTCAGCAAGGCCATTCCTATTGTTTCGCCTTGGGCTTTATATTTTTTAAAAGTCAGCTGTCATTTTCCAAGCAATTCAAAATAGCACTCTCAACAGATCCCTGGAGCTCTGGAAATGTTAATGCCCTCCATCAACAACGACCTTGCCACAGGGAGGTGATTTAGGCACTAGGGAGAAAAGAGCCCACTATCTTTATCACGCGGGTTTACGCCATCAACTTCAGAAATTGTGCGAGAGAATAATCAATAGTGTGTTAAGGCCAATCTTGAGGAATGCCAAGACAAAGTACCGCTGCTCTTCGAAATGCTGAGCTAAAGGAGAACTTCTGAGTACGAGCGAAAGAGAAATTAGCTGTAGCGGCAAAGCAAAATGAATTGTGTCTCCAGATAAAATTTGTCATTGGGCATGGCACTTAAGGGCTCTCTGCATACTTCGGTGGAATCACATAATATGTATGGTGAAAAATGCTTGCTTTAAAGTTAAACAACAAAGAATTAAATGACAAAACTGGAACGAATGCATTGTAAATATACACCTGCGAGTTAAGAATTCTCTCACATAAATAGTCCAGTAAAGTTTACTCAAAAAGAAAAAAATATATATAGCTAGGAGAAAAATCATTCCCTCTGTACAAATGGAACAAACTAAAGTTAAACTTCATCAAGATGTGACTCTCTTTCTTGTAAATCCAGGCAAGGTATAATCTCAGGATATCGGGCACAGAGTGAAAAGCTTCTAAAGTAATAAAAGAGGTACTTGCATGGTTGCTGGAGTGAAGTCATGGTGGAAAAGAACCTGCAGCTAGGTCCCTAAGTTCATTACAATCAGATGCTTGATTTCCCACAGCAACCCTAATTGTGACATGAACAGCTGTCAACAAAATTAGAAGAAACTGTCATTTTGTGGATATCATCCACATGCGCTTGTCCTATTTCTACACGGTTGGCCCAGGAGAGTGTTTTCAAAGCATTCTTCCAGTAGAGGTTTTTGTTATTCAGAAGGGAGGCCCTCACAATATTTTGGCCTCATAGTCTAGACATGAAATACATTTGTCATGATAAGGCAGATCCCAAAGGGATGTTTATTGAATGCCAATTCATGTGCATGAAAGTGTCTGGGGCACAATTTGTTTAATCCTGAAATGATCCTGTGAAGTAACTCTTATAATCCTCATTTTCAACACAGTCGATTCTCATTATTTGTTGTAGAAAGTCAATACAAACACTGAATTAGCAAACACTGAATTGTTGTTCCTATGGGGAACATAAGGTTAGGCTCCTAGGAGCCACTGGTCACAATATTATCGTCAGCCCGTCAATGCATTCTTATTCTTTGTGTCTTTGTTTAAAGATGCCTTATTTAATATATATTTGCTTGATTAATATGGCATTCACGACATTGAACATAGGTTTGCATGAAGTTTATGGAAAATGTTTTTTACACAAGACACATCACATTCTTTGTACTCAGGAGCACTACATTATACTCAGCCCTATGCTGGGGAGTCATTTAAACAGTGAAATCATCAAAACAAACAAAAAAAAAGCACAAATATGTGGAAAAAGGTATAAGATAGACTACAGAAAGGATACTGACACTGACAGCAGACAGCATTGCTTTGTTCAACATCTGCCACAAACATGCAATTGGGTCTGCTCAGATTTGCTACCACTGCTAGTCTATGAAAGTATTGTGAGTACTGATTTGGGGTTTATATATGAATTTTAGCGGCTAGGCAAATTTGCAAATCAAGAATCTGAAAAATAATGAGGAATAACTGTATATGGTAAAATTAAGAGTCATAGTGGACCAGTCTATCTGTCTGGGTAATTCTTTCTGTCATGTTAGTGGTTTTATGTGTTTAAATTTTAACTAAGAGTGTATTGGAGGTAAGAATTCCATGAAAATGACTGTATAGCACACTCCTGCTTCATTCACCATTTTAAGAGGAGACTTTCTTGACAGTAGAATGAATCGGACATCACTTTCCCATGTTCATACACGAGTACACGACCAGTGAAAATTCACATCATGTACAACCATAAGAATGGGATGCTAAATAGAATGACTTATACTCCACGTATGTATTACATCTCAAAATACACTCTACTGTCATGTGTATCTAAAAAGGGAAAATTTTAAAAAGTGAAAATAAAATAGAGGGAACTTTCTTTAGGTAGATTTCTTTACCTTTCAATGGTTCTCTCCAGGTCTTTCAGGGATGTGGCCAGCCTAAACCTGCTCCGGCTCTCAGATCTGCCCGATCGGCTCCTGAAAACTTTAATACACGCTTTAGGCCCTACAATCCCGAGGAAAGACCCACCACTGCTGCAGGCACAAGTTTGGACCGGCTGGTGAGTCCTGTGGGATAGATGACCCTTGTGGGCACTTGTCACGAAGGTCATTTGTTCATTCTTCTAACTAGATGCTGGGATTCTAAAACAGTTTGGTTGTGAAAGCCATCTCATTGTTTTTTTCTGCTCCTGTTCTTAATTTTAATATTGAAAAGTAATAGGACCTCTTTTTTAGGTAACTAATTAGATTAAGAAGTCTTAATAACGATTAAATCCAACGGTGCAGTGACCAAATGTTCAACTTCATATTTCTTCTGAAATATTAATTTGAAAACTGAATTACCAATTCTTCCAGAGATATAATTACAGTAGCATATGTCTTATTCATCTGCTTCGCTTCATTTCTTAAAAATGATTATTCAACTGATACAATGTTACTTTATATGACTTCCTGTATGCAGAGTTGCCTGTTAGAAAGTTCCTGCCAAGAAATCCTAAATTAAGGTTATACCGTTTTTTTTTTCTTTCTTATGTCTTTAAAAAGGTGGAATCCTTAGAAATAATCACTTTTTGAGCCATTTAAGTATGTTTCAGTGACTGAATGGTATCTATCGTTAAGAGCAATTTACTTGTAGAATACAACCATAAACATAGTAAACACAATTTTCTGAATGTGTTTTAAAAACCAAATTTGGCATAAAAAATTCAAAGCTCATAATTTCAAAGAAATACTGCCTGATTATTTTTAATTCAGTTTCTTCAATGTATAGTACTATAAACAGTTTATATACCTGTAATTGTTAGTGCTGCTAATGTTTCTTTGCCAATTATCTTGATGTAAAATTAACAGATAAAAACCTTAAGGTCATAAAGCTTTTGAACCGAATCTGATTGTGCCATATAAACATAGATCTTGAGGGTTGCAGATTATGAAAATTCTTTTATTAGTTGCTGTTATAAATTACTTTATGATTTGAGTTAATATCCTTCTACAATGTAGAACTCGTAAGATTAAATTGGTTTCGTTTGGCCTTGATGTAAGTACAGCTGAGCATTTCCCTCTATAAAAAAAAATCCAATGTGCCTACAATATAAAGGACTATGCATGAAGTTTCAAAATGAAGGGGTAGGTATAGTCATTCACTGTTATTAATTTATTACCAGTTATTGGCAAATAAAATCTTCTTCAGTGTAGGTTCTGGAAAAGGTACCATATCTATAATCACTTTGGCCTTTTATAGTAACTTGCTTACAATTTCAGGAAAAGTTTAAAATTAGTCACCATTTTTCTTTTAAATAATCGATTAGGTTCTGCCCAACAATTAGCTTATTGTTTTAAAGAATGGTGCTTTTCCTTAGATTCTACTGTTTGGAATGTGCTTTAAATTGCTCTGTGTATTTCTCTAACCAGAAGCACAAATGGTGAGTATAGGTTTGGTTCTTTTTCTTTCTTCCCCCCATTTTAGTTGACTCTGGATTTAGTCATTAAGAGTTAAGGCCTTTCAGCATTTTTTAAAAACCCAATTTAAGAACTGGTGGGGTACAAGATGAATAAATTTTATAGTTCTGATTTACAGCATTGTGCCCACAGAAAACAATACTGTATTATTCACTTTAAAATCTGTTAAGAGGGTAGATCTTATGTTAAGTGTTCTTATCACAATAATATCAAATAAAAAAAAAAACTAGGGTCCATTATGTACTTGGTTGAAATTGCATTTAATTTGAACAAGATAAAGATATCTATATCAACTAATGAACTCTTTTCACTTTGAAACAGCATAGTTCACTCTTATCCCCAAGAGAAATTAACACCCACCCTTAAACTCTTAGGGAAGTTGATCAAGAAAAATATATTTCTCAGAACAACAAAATTAAGCACCATCTAAGGAAAGCATCAATGCTTTGGGAGTTTCACATGATGTTTAAAAATCTAATAGATATGAAAATTGTAATTTCAACCTTTTATAGAGGAACTTCATTGGTAATCTTCAATAAGCTCCCAAATGAAGGGTTCTTTAAGAGCACTGGCAAATAGCAAACTGATCTTCTATTTTATTCACCCTCCAAAATATGTTCTTATTTTTGGTGGTCGGGGCAGGGTACCAGGGATTTAACCCAGGAGCACTCGACCACTGAGCCACGTACCCAACCTTTTTTTGTATTTTATTTCGAGACAAGGTCTCACTGAGTTGCTTAGTGCCTCACCTTAGCTGAGGCTGGCTTTGAACTCGTGATCCTCCTGTCTCAGCCTCCTGAGCTACTGGGATTACAGACATGTACCACCACACCCAGCTCCAAAATACATTCTAATCAATTTTTTTCTGAAAATAGTTGATAATGGTTGATTATCCAACCATAAAGAAAAGCCAAGGACCAGACTCAGTACGTAGGTATCCAATGAATAAGCCAATTTTATTCCCAAACATTTTCTCCCACCTATTTCCTCATAGGTGTAAGTTCAGGCTATGTAAGTGAAATTGGCACTTTTATTCTTTTTTTTATTGAATTAAATTCTAATCCCTTCCTAATTTGTAAGAATCAGCAACCGCCAGCTATAAGCCTACCTGGAGCTCAGCTTTCCTCAGCTCTTAAGAGTCAGAAGCTATTTCTACATCAATAGAAGCTACACCAAGGTTATTCTTGAGAGACAGGAGCCGGGCCTGAAGCTAATATCAGAGTCTCCATTTGCAGCCCCTGGCTCCCTCAAGGCCTTCCTCCGTTTAAGGGTTCAGTACAGTTCTGTAAAGTGGGAAAGTAGAGTGATCCAACAGTCAGATATGATCATCTTCGAGGAGCAAGCCATGGAGAAGGGCCCCCATGGGTCTGTTCTCCATTACAGCCCATCTCAACTGTTTATAAACAAGGCTCAGGTCACCTACTCCTGTTTTAATTTTCCCCTGAAAAGATGTTTCCTGAATATTTATAAGAAGCATGTGTTCCAGAAAAGGAGGATAATTGGGAAAGATTTCTCTTAATATCTCTGTTTCAGCAGATAAAATGCTTCAGAGGCCAGCATCAAAAGAATTCTAGGATCACCTCACTCTTTGGCCAAAATGAAAATAGCATAACTAAGGCTTTGGAATGTCACTTCCTAATACCATTTAAATGAGTACCTGTGGTATTGGCTGGGATCTCTTGGTGACTCTTCTTATATCTATTGTCTAGCTACTTTTTATGTGAATTGTAATTTTCAGGACTGTTTTAGAAATGAAGCTCCCAACCCCAAGCTGCTGCTAAAAACTTATATAAAATAATTGAAAATAAAACTCTTAAAATGCATCAATTCCACATTTAGCCTTGTCTCATATGTATAAGGAACTTGGAAATTCTTTTATATCACTAGAAAACATTTCCATTTGTTCCTTGAGAGTTACATGGCCCTTAAACACTGTCAAGGTCACCCATACCTTTCAAACTCCCCCAAAGTGATCTTTGTTATCTGAGAATGAATGAACATGTTTATATATTCAGCTACTGATAGAAAGTCAGCCCATCTGAAAATATCACAGTCTTTTTTTTTTTTCTGTTAAGAGGGTAGATCTTAGGTTAAGTGTTCCTATCACAATAAAATCAAATAAATTTTTTAAAAAAACATTTTTATTAGTGCAGTATAATTGTATACAAAGGTGGAAAATATCATAATCTCACTGCCAACAGCTATGATTTGTTACAATGTTAACAGATCCTGTTAACACACTGGTTCTAGCATCATGTGTCCCTTCGTTGCTACACACAGTCACCTTAACCCTCTTCTGCCCCAGCCAGAGGTTAAAATTTTTCAGTTAAATAGGTCAGAGGTGATTATTTGCACTCAGAAACAGATTGGCTCTCTTCCCTTTTCCTTAATTTTATACTCTGATGTCTCTTAAATAATTTGATGGAAAACTATGATATTTTACGAAGTTTCAATTCACTGGACATATTGAGTGCAAAAATAAAGCACACAGAGGAGTTTTGAATTTTCCTCTCCAAAAGGCAATTATTTGTACAGCTCAGAAAATTAGAGCACAATGGGTTGGAAAGCTCCCGAACACACTTGGGCAGAGACTCTCCGTGACTTCACTTTGGCTCCTATGTTAAAGCAAAAAATGTACTTTAAATGGTATCCCTTCGAGGCATATATGTTATAAAAGTAAATTAAAAAAAAAAAAAAAGCCAGACTTGGAAGTTAACTAACTTATCACATCAGCAATAATTTACAACCCAGAAAATCCCTGTGGGTATTCCACTCCTACTGTGTGTGCAGTTTTCTTGAATATTTGACTGGTGGTTCCAGGGGAATTCGGGGCGGGGATGGGTGGGATGCCAACCTACAAAGCTGACCTTTATACCTGTGCTGTGCTATTGTGTATAGAATAATCTCTTTTTCTTTTTCCTTTAAATGTGTTTCCTCTTGCTTCCCAGAGGACGGTGTGGAGGACAATGCAGGATAGTGTAAGCACTGGTCTTCTTATTCTTCCTCTCATGCCCATTTGTCTTTGTGCAGTCATTCTGGAGTGTTCCTGAGAAACTCCACCTCCGCTCTCCCTTTCCAAATTCTCTGGAGTGCAGTGAACAAGGCACATGGCCAACTTGTTCAGGAGTTTCCTCTCTGCTTGGTGTTTATGGTTAACAACCATTTCGGTATTCTTTCCCAGTGGCAACATTTTCAATCTAATCTTTGTGTAAGCCTAGCTCATTTGGTGGCTGATTTAAATTCTATCCCAATGTTCAGAGCATTGTCGTCTGCCTGAAAAACTAGCTCTTCCCTGATAGAATATATTGCCCTTTTCTTTTTGTGCTGAGCGAATAATTACCTCACTAATAATAAGAACAAACCAACACCAGCTCTCATGCATAAGGAGCTAATTTTTCCATTAGCTGGGACATAGAGAATTTAGGAGGTTAAGAAATAGTTTATGGTATAGGCTGTTTACTCCTTTTAATTTCTACGTGAATTTGCTAAATTTTTTAAGAGCATCCAGGGAAGGAGGATTGGATATTATTTATTTGAAAATGTTTGTATTAGTTAATTCTTAGTTTATCTTACTTGACCAGATTGTTATCTAGTCTGATTT